AGACCTAGATTAGATTACTCTTCGCAAATAGTTAAGGATGTGGGCTGTTCTAGTTTTAGGGAAATGCGAAGTTTAGCTCAGGATAGGAAAGAGTGGAGGTACGTGTCCAACCAGTCTTAGGACTGATGACCTTATGATGATGATGATGATTCTACTATAGTGTAGTTTCCAAAAACGCCATTTTCCTTCTATACACCTTACTTGAATATTTCAAGTCTTTAAATAGATTTACAATTGTAATTTTAGGGTTTCTATTTGTAATTGATAAATTAATTAATGATATTCTAAAAATGCACTTTTAGCCTGTTTAAGACAATTGCAACGGTCGTAATTGTCGATCACTTTGATGTCGGTTCTCGACAAATGTCTTTTATAGAAAGAATTACAAACTTTATCTTCTGGGGGGCAACTATACCATACCCTTTTGGAGATTATAAAATTTTATTTAGGGACTGACCGCGGAGCGCAACTCGTCTATATCCAATGGTTGATACCTGCTCCGGCCCTGTTCAAATTTCATTTTATGCAAGGATCGATTCCCGAGTTTTTTTTTTCTGAATTTATAAACTCGTCTGCCGATGAGATTGGTCGAAGGCGTTATTAGAGTGACCGCAATTCTCTTGGAGCTTTCGGTAAAGCCAGACGTAGTCGTCAATCAGTAAGCGAAAGCCCTCATGCAGAAATGCAGATAATTCCATCAACGGCATATTGATCCCCGGACACGGACATGAACACATGCATCCACACACGTCGCACAAGAGCCCGAGTAGGACCGTAAATGGATGTGTCAGCTCATAATTCACCGACTGACGCGAACATAAATTCTCGTGAGTGGCAGCAGGATGAGCGTTCCGCGATCTCCGATTATCAGAATTTTTATTTGCGAAAATCCATTTCGAACCGACGCGAATTACTACCAACAATGTTTTTCAGAACGAAAGGTTCCTACTAATACCGTATTATATTTTTAATATAAAGTATAATATTTTTTACGATTCAGAAAAAAATAAAAAAGAATCTTCCCTCGAGCGTTATACCTAAGTATAAGATATCAAATTTAATCGCAACTTATGAAAACTTCCCGTTTATATTTTCACATCTAATCGTTTCTTTCAATTCCTCGAAAAATGATACTTACTTAC